GGTTGCAAGTCAGACAAAAAACAACCTACAGAGAAACAGAACAGAAGTAGGACGTACCAGTGGAGCTCAATACCTCCCTACCCAAGTTATGTTGTCGTTGTTGATGAAGATGAGGAGGAGGGGGAGGAGGAGGAGGACGAGGAGGAGGAAGATGGTGATGATGATATGATAATGATTAAGAGGAGGGGGAGGTGGAGGGAGAAGGGGGTGAAGAGGAGGAAGAGGAGAAAGTGACAGATATTAGTTTTCGAAGTCGTCTTTATGCTCAAGCTGAATCTCAGTACAATCTGATCTCTTTTTTTTTTTTTTTTTGCTGTTGATTTCTATCCAGATCAAAAACACATCTGTCATTGCCGGCGTGGTTCATGACGAGGGGACATTTTGGCTTCTCTACGGATTTTCGAAGGTGTTTGGACGTCAAGATCCGAACCCAATTAACGCCAGCCAGTTTGAATCGGTCGTCGAGGGTGTACTCAAACCCTTCGGAGCCGCATACCAAGACGAACTGGTGAAGAAACTGACCACAATCCAGTACTATGACTCTGTACCGCCTAGCGAGAGGACTCCGAATATGTATCTGGATGTGTTGGACGACATCAGGTGAGGTGCTGGGGAATAATTGGAAGAAAGTTGCATCTCAGGTTGTGAAAAAAGAAGAGCAAGATTTTTCTCCTTTTCATCCCACATCTCAGCCCTCGTACCTCTACGCCAGTCCTTTTCGCTTTCTCTTCTGCAATCTTTTTCTATGCAATTTGAAGAAAGAGGGAGGAGAGGTGGATGTTGAGAAAAAGGGGTATATGTGGTATTAAGAAACACGACAACACACTGATAGCGAGATCTGTTGAAGGTTGTCAAAGCTAAAATCAAATGAGGTAAATACACAATATTCTTTATACCATGCTTACGAGAGTGGGTGATAAGCGGAGCCAACAAGAATTGTAAAACATGCTTCTTAGAAGAATTCGCTACGATTCAATATTCACGAATATTTCAAGAGCCTTTGGCTGTAGAGCGCCATGGTAGCACAGCAGACAGCTTTGCAAGAAATGAACAATAGGCGGGCTTCCTATTCGAAAGTCGAAGCACTATGAAAGGCCATGTGACGTCATCGCGCACACACTGAATAACACTGTGACTATTGACTATAACATGGTCAAAAATTCGTGGCGCAACTTATTCGCAAATATCTCTGTAACGGGTGAATCAATATCACCCATACTTTTCACAGTTGTTTGTATCAATGTGTCCCAACTGAATCATAATTTTCCACAACAATTGAGGCTGGTTTAAAAAACGTTTCTTGTCAAGTTAAATTTATATAAAATACTATAAATCTCCGTCACGCGGAAAATGGGATTGTTCACCGCAATACCCGCTTCTCATACACATTTTGTATACGAATAATAATATGGTCAAGGTCACAACTGACGAATGACACTATTAGTCGCAAAACTTGTTGCAAGAAATTGTTTTTATAACGTAAACTTTTTTGCACTAAAGGTTCTCAAGGTGTGAGTTCAATGATTAGAAAAAAGACGCTCTTGCTTTTGAAAGCAATACTGCCCCTGATGTAAATCTTTTAAAATCTATAGAAACCACCCACTGGGACTTTTAATTAGCATATTATAGTAAGGAATTTTGTAGAATTCAGTTAACAAGTGTTTACAAAAATATTGATCTATTAAGACAAATTGGTACATTTCATCGTGCAAAAGCTGGATAGTCTATGCTCAATAGTTGAGAATATATTTGACAAGTTGCACCACGAATTTTTGACTGCACTATAGTGTAGGCCTACACTGAATAGTGAATATTGCTGAAAGACTTATATAATGTAAATGAGTTCTTTTTATAAAAACAAAAAACTTTTGCACACGGTATTTGAATAGGATGATCAGTGACTTCGCGAATTGTAGCGTCAATAGAGTTTTGTTTCTTCTAACTGGCAGAGAGCTACTGCAAGCAGCTTGCCAAGACGCATGAGAAAGAGCCAGACCCTTCTCGGGTTCGCACGTAATCAAGAAAGTCGAGTTCGAACTAAAAGCACTGCAGTGGTAGACATTGTAATATAGTAAATTATTATTATTATTCTAAATACAGACCACTGTGGGAAGCGAGATTACAGTCAAGAACTGTCTTTTTATTTCTCTTGAAAGGGGGTTGGGTGGCATGGGGGGATAAACCTATGCAAAACCAATCAAAAAGATTAAAATATATATGTTTAAATATTTCTAT